AATGGTGGACACCTAGACAGGTCCGAGTAGGGGTAGCACAAAGGAAGCAGTGGTTAACTCTCGGGGGTGGCGGTGGAATCTGGGAAACTGCATGGAGGAGGTGTCCCTTGGGTCCTGGAGGAAGAGGACTCCTTCAGGCAGACAGGAGGCATGGAGGCAAGGATATTCCTGGCAGAATAAAGGCATGAACCACTCTTTATATTCCCTCTGTTTCATAGGCTAGCTCCTAGGACTACCCACGTAAAGTTGGAAGCGTCCACATTTGCAAGAAAGTTTTGTTTCTGAATTTGTTTTACTAGCACTTTCCATGTAAAAAACATGGTGCTGAATGGTCCAACTGGATTTGGGGGGTGCGTTACTATCTACCGCATATTCATCCAAGTTGGTGAACGGCTTTCTGTGTGAACTACTTTTCTTGCTAGAAGAAAAATAGTCATAAAAAATTTCAATGAGCCTTTCAGGCTTCTAGAACTCTGAAGCAGTCATAAAAAATTTCAATGAGTCTTTCAGGTTTCTAGGACTCCGAAGCAGTTGTTATCTTCCTAAATATTAGAACGATTCTGGAATATTTTCAACTAAAGTCTACACCTTCTGTGTTCCCATTACTCCCTCCCACCCCCCAACTCCGTGGCTACACTTGCAACTTGGTTACCAGACTGGTGAGAATGGTTCCTTTTCATTTTGCTGTGGAATCTATTAGCTATTGTATTCGAGCTCACAGGAGTGAATGCTTGGTGCTCCTAAGGAGCTGACATGTTAGTGCTCTCTTGTGATATATTTCCCTCTCAAAATTGGAGAGTCTTTATCTGCTGTTGATTACAGGCTATCTTGCATGAGCATCATTCCTGCCTTTTCAACAGGAGCTAGTCTAGTGCAATAGCCATTTGCCATAGGGGAATTCCATTACCTCTCCTTACCGGAGGATAGATCCTGTCTGGTGTTTACACTGAAGATGGGGGAAATTTAATTAAATTCTTTCAAGTGCTAGATTTACTTACACTATCAATTTACTGCTAAGCCCACCATTCTCATTTTGGAGAAAGAGAATAGGGCCATATGTCTCCAAGTTATCAACTGTCGGCTCTTTCAGTAATAGTCTTCTGCTTAGAATCAAAAGAAAGATTTGGGTTTTTGAGTCCCCAAAGCCCTCTAGTGAGAACCTTATGGACTCTGATTTGGAACTGAATTTACTATACACTTCGTTTGTTGGAATGAATTTTGCAATAAATCCAGGATCTTATTTGCAAAATGTCTCAGGGCAAAGTCTGACAGCTTCTCCAAAGAGGAGTTCTCTCCTCCCATCACTGCCTGGTGAAAAACTATGCAAGAATTAGATTAAGCAGCAATAAATCATCCACATGTTTGGCCAAGTGACAAAATACTGGCCTGTGGGGGAAAGCTAGAGAAAGCAAGAATAAGGACACACATTCATTGACATGGAACTATTTAAATATGAAGAGAAATATGGTAAAAAATTTCTGTTGCCAGAGACAGAGATTTCATAATCCTATCTGGAAAATGGTATTATGGGAAATCTTTGCCCCTTTGAGTTTCAGTTTAGATGACCATTTCATTTAGAGGTGGAATAGAGATACATGTGTATTTTCACCTTTCTCAAATTTATATGCAAAATGTCTGATATTTGGATAAAGGCTGAGAAGAAGTATTCTATCCCAAGTCAAATGGGACATGGGGCTTGTCCACAAGTAGCTTCTAGTGCCGTTGGAAAGATGGGACTCCCCCACATGGCATCACGAAAGTCAAAGAAAGTTTGTGGTGAGCAGTGACATACCCTCAACTTAGTGGAAAGCTGCATGGTCCAGCCTCTCCTCAGGAGCTACAGGAAGAGAAACAAAGGATTAGGAGTAGCTCCTGTCTTGGGGAAAGTCTCATGAAGAATGTGCAATTTATGCACAAGGCTAGGCATGTTTTGGATGCACAGAAGGAGAGGGAATGAGACGTTCCGATCGAAAAAGAGGGGAAGAAAAAAAAAGAGCAAAGGCATGAAGGAGTGAATATGGTAGGCAGAAGGCAAAGCAGGGGCCAGGCTGCCTAGGATAGAGTGTGTGAGAATGCTGGCCTGGCAAGGTAGACTCGGACTTGGCAATGCCAGCTTAAGAATTTGGTTTGGGTTCCACAGGCCAAGAAGTGCCAACAGGATCCACCGAGCGGTGTAGTGATATGATGAAAGTAGTGTTGTGGGAAAATTAGACCAGGATTTATAGGATTACATATGGCTGTCCAGATGGCCCAAATGTACCAGTTGCAAAGATTCTTCCTTGCCAGTACAGTGAGCAGCGAGATGACTGTGGAGGGAAAGATGGAAGCAAGGATCAATCAGGATAAATTCGGACGCAGAGAAGAGCAGAGTTTCAACTGGCAATATGGAAGAGTTGAAATGAAACATTCAGCTCCTTCTGATACAGTGTTTCTGAAAGACTCAGGGGGGCAAAGACCCGGAGGAGAACAGGAGAGCTGGAATCATGAAGCACCATGATTGTCTGGCTCCTGTCTCTCTTCTCCAACCTAATTTTGATGCAAGTGCCGTCATATTGAACTGCCTGTGGCTTCCTGAAATCAATCGTTTTTTCACCTCTCCAGGACTCTGCCTGGAGCCCTCTTTCCCTCATTTTTTCCTGAATGAAATGATTGTGGGCAGAATGGCTCCCCCCAAGATATCCAAGTCCTCATCCCTGGGACCTGTGACTATGTAGTAAAAGGGACTATGCAGGTGTCATTAAGGTTATGCTCCCCAAAACATGGAAGATGATCCTAGATTATCTGGGTGGGCCCAATCCGATCACCCGAGCCCTTGAAAGCAGAGAACTTTCTTCAGCTGGAGTCAGAGAGAGGTGGCAAAAGAAGTCAGAGAGATTTGGTATGGGAGACAAACTCAATTCAGAGGGAGGCTGCACGGAAGCCATGAGAAGGAATGAGGGTGCCTTCTAGAAGCAAAAACTGACCTCTGGCTGATAGTCAGCAAGGAAATGAAGACCTAGGTTCCACAACTACAAGAAACTGAATTTAACCATCAACCCCAATGAGCCTGGGAAGTGGATTCATTTCCAGAGTCCCAGAAAGGAATGCAGTTGTTGACACCTTGGCGTTGACCTTATGAGACTCAAAGCCTAGGAAGCAGCCAAGCCACACTGTACCCAGACTTCTAACCTACAAAGCTGGGCGATATTAAGTGGATGTTGTGTTAAGCCAATATATTTGTTGTAATTTGTTACAGCGGCCATAGAACACTAAGACAGCACCCTTTAACACTCAGCTCAAACACCCGACTTTTGGGAAGGCTTTCCTGAGCCCCTCTTCTGGCCTCACATACCACCCTATATGTTTCCTTATAATGGCAGGGAAGACATTATATTGATGTCGTCTGAGTGCACAGTGGCCTCCTTCCCTAGATCATGAGGGCCTTGAAGGAAGAGACCATGTCTTACTCATTTTTGTATCTGTAGCACTATGCACTTTAGCACAGTGTTTGACAGCAGGTGCTCGGTAAATACTGAGGTGGAAAGAGAAGGACGAGGTGGCCGAAGGGGCCAAGAGGCAGAAAGGGTAAAAGAAAATGGAATGAATACAGCATGAGAAGAAAAGGCACAGCTTAGGGAATATGGTCAATGATATGATAATGCCGTTGTAGGGTTAGAGATGGTAGTTGCCCTTGTGGGGAGCACAGCATCACATATAGAGAAGTTGAATCATTATTTGTACACCTGGAACTAATGCATTTTTATTTATTTATTGTAAAGATTTATTTATCTATTTTTATTTTTTTCTTTCTTAATTTTTTATTGGTTGTTTTGAGGATCAGTACAGACGTTGCAATTTGTACACAATTCTTTTTTTTTTAATTTTTTTTTTAAAGATTTTATTTATTTATTTGAGAGAGAGAATGAGAGATAGAGAGCACGAGAGGGAAGAGGGTCAGAGGGAGAAGCAGACTCCCTGCCGAGCAGGGAGCCCGATGTGGGACTCGATCCCGGGACTCCAGGATCATGACCTGAGCCGAAGGCAGTCGCTTAACCAACTGAGCCACCCAGGCGCCCAATTTGTACACAATTCTTGACATACGTACCGAAAATCTAAAAAAACCATGTAGTTGTGATTCTTTTCTAAAAGTTATTCCAGTGACCTTCCAGCTTAAAATTTGGAGGCAAATTTTCCTTAACAGTATATCAAGTACCAAGATCTTCAAATGCTGATACACTGTTACATTGTTAAGTCCCATTAATTCACAATTTAATATCATACACACTACATACTCAAATTCTCAATCTTGCACAGCCCATTAACAGAGTTACTAGGAAAACTGGACTACCACCACCAAGATGTTACAGAGTGCACAAGAATTCTGACCGGGAGAGCCAGGATCTAGGAGTGGTTTTCTTTAGGAAACAATTCTACCAAAACAACATGGGAAGAGAAGTGATTTAAAATATTCAAGACATAGTAAATGCACGACCGACTCCAAATTGCTATTCAGTATGCTTGGTATTATAGGATATAAAAACTACCCCAAGGGGGTGGGGGGATGGGTTAGCCTGGTGATGGGTATTAAAGAGGGCACATTCTGCGTGGAGCACTGGGTGTTATGCACAAACAATGAATCATGGAACACTGCATCAAAAACTAATGATGTAATGTATGGTGGTTAACATAACAATAAAAAATTATTAAAAAAAAATAAAAAAAAAATAGAAACTACCCCAGCTATGGAATGTTGAGCTGACACCCAAGACAATCAAAGCCTCCCACATTCAATACCCCACCATTTCCTGGTTGTACCAAAAAATAAACAACCAGCAAATGATTTCACCTCTTAAAAAAAAGCATTTACACTTAAAAAATGGAATGAGGTGGGATTCCCTCCTTCTTAAAAATGTTTCTAGAGCTACTAAAAAACTTGCATTTACAAAATAGTTGATAAAAATATTCCTCTGGATTGTACAAGAAGGGCCACAGGGACCGCTGATAAGACATGGTTTATGGTATTAATCAGACTTGGCTTCTTTCTCTCCTGCTTCATCGGAGGCTGGACTCTCCTCATTTTTAGTTTCTCCGTTTTCGGCAGGTAAGTCTTCTTTCGTTTCTTGGTTAGCCACTCCAGCCTGTTTTCCCTTTGCTCCCCTTTTCCCCTTTGTTTGCACTTTTTTGTCTGAAGACTTATCAGCTGACAACCTCGCCGACCTCCTCTTGGGCTCCTCCTTCGCCGCCCCCTCGGCGGAGCTGACCTTCCTCTTGGGCATCGTGGCGGCGGGGCGGGCGCGTGCCGGGTGCCTGCGGGCTGCGGCGCGCCGAGACCCTTCGCGAAGCTGGGCTGCCTGGCCGCTACCGCTCCTCCCGCCGCCCGAGCTGCTGCCAAGATTTATTTATTTTTAGAGAGCAAGAAAGAATCTCAAGCAGACTCCCCACTGAGCATGGAGCCCGACATGGGGCTGGATCCCACAACTCCGAGATCATGAGCTGAGCCGAAATCAAGAGTGAGAGCCTCAACCGACCGAGCCCCCCAGGCACCCCAATCATAAGCACTGTTTTAGAGGAAAATGGAATGACAGCCAATAATTATGGACTCAGTAGAGCTTAGGAACAGTGTGTGGTGGCAACAGCAGCTGGAGATACAAATAAATGCTAAAAGGAGACTTAAGGGTTAGGAAGGAATATCAACAAGCTTAGAGGACTCTAGAAACACTTAGAAATTGCAGGCATGATGTTCTGCCCACACGCTACTAAGCCCCACTTATGCTGCACAAATTCTAACGTGTTTTTTTAGTTCTTCACTCTTAAAGAGGAATGGCTAGGCAAAGGTCACCAGTCACTGGGAAGAAAGCTTCAACTTGAAAGAGAGAGACCAACACAAAGAGAAAGGGGATTGAAACATTTTAGAGGGTGGAAGAAAATGTCCGTGAAATAATAATTTGTATCCTCAAAGAAATAAGAGATACTTTATCACTAAAACAGGAACATGATTATATAAAAGAAAGATTATCAAAGAACGAGCTTTTGAAAATTAAAAATATGATATAAAAAAGTTAATGAACAGGTTTGAAGATGAAGTTGAGGAAATCACACAGAAAGTTGAACAAAAAGATTTCATTTCATTCATCGAAATTGCTTGAGTGCTCACTAGGTGCCAGATACTGTTCTAGACTCTTGGAATGTATCATTACATCATCATCATCAACAACAACAACAACAACAACAAACTGACAAAAATCCCGTATTTATGTAGCTTACATCCTGGTGGACAATGTGAAAATAAAGAAAAATAGAACAATCCAACCCATCCGTCATCAAACTAATAAGAATTTCCAGAAAGTGGGGCGCCTGGGTGGCTCAGGCCATCGAGTGTCTGACTCTTGATTTCTGCTCAGGTCGGGATCTCAGAGAGTACGCTCCCTGCCTTGGGCTCCTCGCTGAGCATGGAGCCTGCTTAAGATTCTCCCGCTCCCTCTGCCCCTCCCCTGCTCGTGCGTGCCCAAGCGCATGCATGTGCATGGTCCCTCTCTCTTTCAAAAATAAATAAAAGTTTTTTTAAAAAGAAAACTTTAAAAGAATTTCCAGAAAGAAAACCGAAAATGGTGGGAGAAAATTATCAATGAACTAATGCAAAATTGTTGTCCCAGCTCCAAAGGACACGAGTTTTCAGATTTAAAGGGCCTACCTAGAACTTGGCACGAGAACATTGCGAGATTCCAGAACACTAGGAATAAAGAGAAGAACCTGAACACTTCCTGAGAGAAAAATAAAATAAGTCACATACAAAGCAGTGGGCTTCTCAACAGCAAGATTATACACAATGGAGTAATGCCTTCAATATTCTGAGCAAATGATTATTTTCAACCAAGACTTCTTCCCTCAGCAAAGTCTCAAAATGTGACCTCTAATGCACCCTTACTCAGGAAGTGATACTCAACCAAAACAAGGACGTAAACCAAGAAAGAGATTCACAAAACAGGGATTCTATCCAGCGGAGAGGTGACAGGAATTCACAGCATAACGGCTGTTCAGCAAGCTCAAGCTCAGAGCACCACAGTTCACGTTGGAGCAGGCCTGAGGGCTCCAGGAGGGTCGTTGTACGGAGAAAAGGCCTCAGAACCCAACCCAAACAAAACAACAGTACGAAGCCTGAGAGAGAATGCGAAAGCTTTGCTCACGTGACCGCGTGGACCCTTGGACTGGGAGGCATTTTACAAGACTGTCGGAAGGTATGGAAAGACTTGGCTACAGGTCCAGATAAACTATGCAAAGGGGGACTGTAATCATTAACTACTGAAAGAACAGAGATTGTACAAGGAAGGAGGATGCGATCATAGTATATATCTTGGCTCATTGGTGAATGCTATTTGTGTAACCGTAACGAGGCAAATTTTGGATTATGATACAGCTATTGGGAGAATAGAAGGGGGAGGGGATTTGTAAGGAAACTGAATCTTCCTCTACCATAGTGAGACTCCAACAGATTACTGATAATGAATCAAACGACAACAATGCGTGCGTGTTATGTAACGATATGGAAGTAAATATCAGAAAAAAGGCAAAAAATTGAAAGTGAGGTAGTCCAGGTGGTGGGGAGGGAGAACAAGGAGACAGGGGTCTTTTTTTTTTTTTTTAGTATAAGCTGTTTAGACACAGCAATGTACCATTGTAAATCAGCATATAATACTTAGATAAAAATAATGATTTATTTGAAAACGAATCAGTGGGGGTTAAACATAAGGACAGCAGGTTATTTTCACCTCTGTTTTCTGAACGCTCTGCCCACAGATCTCCTGTGGCTTCATCCTGGCTATAATCAGAGAGGAAAGATCCAAAAAACTCTTTCACACTGAGATCCGAGGCACTTAAGGGGCCATCCTTGAGGAGGAGTGTCCTGGGGGTTGGGGTGTGCATTTTAAAAGAGGAATTTAGAGCAGGACACTGCTAAGCAAGGAATAGTTTCTCAATATGGATCAACAGGCATTAGCACAAGTCCTGACCAGGGTGGAGTCTGGTTACATGGGTGGGTGGGTAGGTGACATATTTGTAGCGTGGAAACTTTCACTATGTTCTCAAATAGAGTCATGCAATAAAACCAAACCTTTGTATTGCTTTTATAAAGTACTTTCACTTAGGTCATTTTATCTGAGTCCCATGAGGTCAAGGTCATCCAGCTAAGACATAAGTAAAGATGGGGCTGCGCAAAGATCCAGAACTGGCTGCCAGTGATCCCGGCCTCTGTATGTATCACGCCACCAAGGGGCTCCCACATGAATTTTCTGTGGCCCCCTCTCCACTGCCCTTGAAAGACTCACTTGGCCACTGACCTAGTGCTGCGTGTGCCCCAGCCCTTTCAGAATTTCTGCGCCAACCTGCCCTGCCTTCCCGATTCTTTTCTTTCCAAGCACTAAACAAAGGTGAGCAGGGGAAGGGCAGGGGCATCCGCAGAGAAAGGCAAGGCAGGTGAGGATGGGTGGAGAAGCAGCTGGGGAAAAACAAGGCCCCAGTGTCCTTTCTGTTTGGTGATGGGAATGACAAACATGGCACCTCTGTGCTCTCAATGCTCATCTCCTCAGATTCACAGAGCTGAGCTCTGTCCATGGCCTAACCCTCAAGGCAGAAGACGGGCATTTAGGATCATGTGTACCAACAGAAACACGTGAGGAAAGGCACACTCACTGCCCTTTGATCCACAAGCAACCCGAAGTGCAAATGCAGCAGTCTTCACAGAGTTTATCAGCCTTCCCAGCAAGGAACCCCAAACCACAGACAGGGTCTGCCCTGTCAGAGCTTCTCTGATCGCCTCCAACCAGACACCTGGCAAGCTGGATGCCGTCCAGAGCAGTGTCCCAATCAGCACCTCAAGAAAAGCCACCAACCCTAGCCTAGAGCCTGGGAAGGTTCCCCACTGTGGCAATAATGGGAGGGGCCCCGCTTAGGTGGCGAATCTGATGAGTGATGAGCACTTAAGCTCCAGTGTTCTTCAAGTGGCCGCCTCTGGGAATGCCCAGGCCCCCTCAGTTTAGCCCAGTTTGGGGAAGCTGGGTGGGTTAACCTTCGCCCTGCGAGCAGTCGCATTTCCTCAGGCAGGCCTCTCTGTGAAGCTTGCGCGGAGATGGACGGTGCCTGGGCCATGAGAGTGTCTCCACCACAGTCCTTCCTTCTCCTGACGGCGCCCCCTTCTCTCGGCTCTACTTTGTGACCAGTGCAGGGGGCTTCAGGCCCCAAGTGATTGCTTCAGCCCCATCCACGAAAAACAACGGGATCAACAGAAACACATTCGCGCTGAGGTATTTGCGGTGTGATGGGACTTTCCCTGCGTGCTTTGCGTTGTAACAGAGGGGACATGAGAGAGCAGATCTTTGCATAGAACTTCAGGCACTGACACACAGCCTATGGCCGCATTCCAAGACATAAAGGAGTTTAGAGCTAGCAGAATCCCTGAGGGCGTCTGGGTGGCTCAGTCGGTTAAGAGTCTGCCTTCGGCTCAGGTCGTGATCCCAGGCTCCTGGGATCGAGTCCCGAATCGGGCTCCTTCCTGAGCAGGGAGCTGGCTTCTCCCTCCCCCTGCTTGTGTGCTCGTTCATTCTCTCTCTCTCTCCGACAAATAAATAAATAAATAATTTAAAAAAATCTTCAAAAAACAGGGGTGCGTGGGTGGCTCAGTTGTTGAGCATCTGCCTTCGGCTCAGGTCATGATCCCGGGGTCCTGGGATCGAGCCTCGCATCGGGCTCCCTGCTGGGCGGGAAGCCTGCTTCTCCCTCTCCCTCTGCCTCTCCCTCTCCCCCTGCTTGTGTTCCCTCTCTCGCTATGTCTCTCTCTGTCAAATAAATAAATAAAATCTTAAAAAAAAAAAGAGGTCATAGCAGAGAACTCAAATCTTGTGGTTCCGTCATCCCCTAGAATATTCCCCTTCTCTGCATCGCCAAAACTGGTTCGTCACCACTACGACTGTGTTTTAGCTCTTAGGAAAGGAGGTAGAAAAAGCACAGGGAAAGCCATTTTCCTTTTTTAAATTCAAGTATAATTAACATACAGTATTGTATTAGTTTCTGGTGTACAATGTAGTGATTCAACATTGTGTACATTACTCAGAGCGCCTCATAAGTGTCCTCTTAACCCCTTCACCTAGTTCATCCATCCCCTCAGGTGTGTTCTCCGTCTTAAAGAGTCTGTTTTTTTGTTTTTCTCCTTTTTCTTTGTGTCACTTCTTAAAATCTACATACAAGTGATATCATATGGTATTTGTCTTTCTCTAACTGACTTATTTCACTTAGCACTATAACCTTTAGATCCATTTATGTTGTTGCAAATGGCAAGACTTTATTCTTTTGTATGGGTGAGCAGTATTTCATTGTGTGTGTGTGTGTATGCACAC